GGATTCTACGCTAAATTACAAATAACTTTTATAGAGGTTGTTTTCATTTATCTGTTATTAATTTTGATTTGTATCGCTTTTTTACCAGAATTTTTAAATGCAGGGGTCTGTCTAAAAATTCGTAACTTCTAAATGTTTGCACACAAGTTAAAGTAAGTAACGCCGTTTGATTCCTAAACGTTTGCCGCATCTTTTAAGTGTTTACTCAACAACCTACTCAGTGGCATGTGCCTACTGCGATTTTTTAAACATGACAAATTAAAAATGTCAAAAACTCATTTTTTTCAAATGGCACCTACTATTTATTATTGTACCAATCGAAAGATCTTTTGACAAGCTTTCCATCGATATAAGGTTTGTTTAGTCTAGTGTAAAATTCTAAGTTGCTATCTTAAATTAACTAAATTTCGATAAACTTTTCTGTTTCGAACAATAAAAATCGAGTGGGCCTTATGCACAAAAAAATTTGCACAGAAAATTACCAAAAGTATGGAATTGGAAATTCTTTGCTGCAAGAAAATGTACAATGTTGTGCACAATTGAGTTACAGAGAAAATGAGGCAAAATCTAACATATCGCAAAGCAGTATTAACACAATTTAGTAGAAAGATGCTCAAAAATATTACCATTTTCTTCAATACAAGTATGCAGTCTTCGTCTAAAAGATAGTCTAACACGACTTAGCATATCTGCATGTATTAAATGGAATGTATCGCGTATTCTTTGTTTCATATCCTCCCTCCGTAGTTGTTGGTCTCAGTTTATATAACATTTTTATACAATTTTTTAAATGCAGCACTTTGCGGCAGTCTTGCATTTGGGTATTTTTATTTGTAGACTCTTTGAGCCAATAAAATATTACGATCCGCTTCACCAAGACTGTATACCATGTTAATGAGTTCTTGACGAGTAAAATTCATTTTGGGACTTATAATCTTCACAATGAAATTGACAGATTGTAGCAATGACAGAAGCCCACTCGATTTTTATTGTCCAAAACAGAAAAGTTTATCGAAATTTAGTTAATTTAGGATAGCAACTTAGAATTTTACACTAGACTAAACAAACCTTATATTGATGGAAAGCTTGTCAAAAGACCTTTTAATTGGTACAATAATAAATAGAGGGTGCCATTTGAAAAAAATAAGTTTTTGACATTTTTAATTTGTCATGTTTAAAAAATCGCAGTAGGCACATGCCACTGAGCAGGTTGTTGAGTAAACACTTAAAAGATGCGGCAAACCTTCAGGAATCAAACGGCGTTACGTACTTTAACTTGTGTGCAAGTATTGAACAGGTAAGAATTTTTAGAGAGACCCCTGCATTTAAAAAATTCTGGTAAAAAAGCGCCACAAATCAAAATTGATAACAGATAAATGAAAACAACCTCTATAAAAGTTATTTGTAATTTAGCGTAGAATCCAAAAATAAAATCAAACTGAGTAGATTCTATTTAAAAAACCATAACTTTAGTAATATTGGGACACCTGTATATAAACCGCAATATTTTTAAAATGTGCATAAAAAACGCAGCTATAATCTAAAAAAAAAGAAAAAGTCAGTATCTCTTAAAATAAACAAGTTATAGAGCTTTTTCGGACCGTTGGGACAGCCTGTATACACATTTATCTGGTTGTAGAGTTAATCCCGCTTTAATTCGTTGAAGGATCTTCTGTAACGTTTCTATCTGTCCCTCAATCGTATTTAAAAATATAATGATGTCATCTCTAAGTATATCAGGATTTTCTTTTATTTTTTGTCTGCGAATAACTTGTCCATCCACCTGAAATGTCCCCAAGGCGTTGCAAAGTCCAAATAGCATTACTCGGAATTAGTACTGGTTCTGACTCTGCGCTACAAATGCCGTATATTTCTTACATATACAGGGTGCGCCAGAACTCGCGCCCCAGAGAAAAATGCCATATAAGGTAAGATACCAGGAACATGGAAAAAATATTAAAAAAATTTTATCTATAAAAATTTCGAAGTTATGAGGGTTTAAAGTTTGCACTTTGACTCTATTTATTTCTGTTGCAAAAATAATTTTTCAAGTTTTTTTGCTATAGGCTATTAAAAGAGGAAACAAGGAAGCTGTATCCTAAATTGTAACTCTGTTCAATGTTATTTGTGGCTTTTATTGGCAAAATTTTTGTTCCTTTACTAAATAATTGTAAAAAAATATATACAAGATCATCAGTAACCTTAAATAGATATAAAAAAATGTCAAATGTCAAAAAATATATGTCAAAATTTTTTGACAGATAGAATTTTTTAAACATTTTTTTCATGTTCCTGGTATCTTACCTTACTTGAAAATTTTCTCTGGGGCGCGAGTTCTGGCGCACCCTGTATTTCTCTCGGTAGCAGAAATTTTTCGTTTGCGATTATTTTTGAACTCTCTATTTTTTTCTAGTGTCAATTGTCAGTTGTTTGCAAATTTATCCCTATTTTACCTCCGGGTTGAAAAATGTAATCCTGTGCGGCCACTAGCTTTGCGACGACCTTCGCACATACATTCCATTTTCGAGTGTACTTGACCTAGATGCTGACGTCATTGGTAGAATAAAGTCTTCTTGAGGTAATAATCCGGTCAACATAAACATTTCAAATAACGAAAATTCCGACAGAGCTAAATTTTGGTGAAGACCTTGGGTACACCATTAGGAATAAAATGTTAAAAGTCCCCATTGATCCCATGTGTGCTTAAAAAGTTATTCGGGGTCAAAGGTCAAAAGTTTTTTAGATTTTTTTTCGAAAACGGTAAGTTTTATCAAAAAAGTAGCCCAGACAAAAATTATAGATTTTAAAAGTATTTACAAAAATGGTCCTTATACTTTTTTTCTAAGAATCACCATTCTTGAGATATTGCGATTCTAAAAGTTGAGGGAGTCACGTTTTACATGATATGCACATAAAAAGTGCGCCAGAACTCGCGCCCCAAAGAAAAATGCTATGTACGGTAAGGTACCAGGAACATGGAAAAAAAATTTCTCTCTAAAAAAATTTCGTTATGAGAGTTTAAATTTTGCAATTTAACTCTATTTATTTCTGTTTGAAAACTAATTTTCCAAGTTTTTTTTGCTATAGGCTATTAGAAACAGAAACAAGGAATCTGTATTCTAAACTGTAACTCTGTTTAATCTTATTTGTGACTTTTATTGATAAAATTTTTGTACCTTTAGTAAGTAATTATAAAAAAATATATACAAGATCATCAGTGTCATAATAGACATAAAAAATGTCAAATGTCAAAAAATAAATGTCAAATTTATTTGACAGATGGAATTTTTTAAACATTTTTTCCATGTTCATAGTATCTTATCTTACTTGCGAGGGGAGCGAGTTCTGACACGCCACGTATAAACATAGTCAGGCACTTAATACAAGTAAAAATGCCTATTTGTGTCTGTTATATGTATGTCGTAGGCTAATTACAAATTCAGTCGATTTATAAAACGCCTAGTCATTTTGTAAACGACTGGGCAAATTGTAAAAAAAAAATTTGTTAGGTGCCAAGTGTGGTGATTGTGGGGGGCCATGTGATGCGGCCATATCTCCCGCTCCACTTTGGTGTACAGAGCACACAAATGTCATTAGCTTTTTAAAGCTGCGCTTTAAATTTCAAATCTGACACTTGACAAACTTGACACAAAATCTTCGTTTTCAATATTTTAATATCTAGTACCCTCTAAAAGCTTGAAATGTTGGTCGCCTACCCTATGAAATTGACCCGGTTTTTTTTTTAAATAGGGTTATGTATACTAATAAAAAGAATGTCCCTGTATATTCCATTTCCAAAATCGGTTTTTGCATCCAGACCCTCGGAACGAATATACATACAATAAGAGACATTCAGCAAAGTAGCTGACCTCTGGTGGCAGGCTAGAAACTATCCAAATGGGGAAAACATATTTTGACAATATCAGTTTTCCATTTTTGTCAATTTGACAAGTCAATGTAAATATGAGTACTTGTAAGCGTTTTTGCTACGTACAACCTCATTGCAAAAACTATGTGGGAGCGTCTATTTCGATGCATTACTTTCTAAAATGGAGATTTTAACTTTTGGTATTGTTATTTTAAATAAAAAAATACTTTTAAAAAACGTTAGGTGACAGATTAAATAAAACTTTGAAGTTGTCACAAAATTCCGTCAAAATCCCGCCAAAACGTCGGCGTGCCGTCGTCTAAGCTACGCGGCAAAATTAGTAAATGAGACATCTGGCACATCAACTGTAAACTATTCAAATGGGGAAAACATTAATGGTTTAGTGCATCTATTGGTGGCTGATTTTCTCCTATTGTGTTACATTACAGTACATTACAAACGAGTTGGTAAATATGGCATCACCCCGAGTGCACATTTAGGTATTTAGGCGCCAGCACAAGAGGTAATGCTATTACCACCGAGTTTTGTATGCTATTTATTCACATTCACATCATTTTTTAGTCACAAATTTGAATAATTTTTGACATTTTAAAAATGTCAAAGAAAATATTGAAATAATATGGAATATGATATTAAAATTGTTGAAATGGAGCAGTGTACCTACTCCACCAGAAGTAAGAAAACCTGCTACAGAAGCAATTGAATACTAATTTAGTGAAATATTATGCGTAACTTACCAATTTGAAAGAAAAAAATTTCTTTATTTTTGTAATTTTAACGTTGGCAAACCTGCATAAGAGATAAAATGATACTACTGTTCATGGGAATTAATGATGTGTTTCCCAACCTTTAAAAGGTTAGTAATCGCCATATTACATTAGTGATTGTGAATAAAATACCATACAATAGTACGTAAAAAAATTGAATACACTATATTAGAAAATTTGATTTTTATTCACACCGTTGGATAGTGTTTTAAAAACTGTCAAAATGTTTAGGAGCTATTGCGTTTTTCCAAAATTTACGTTTAAAGTGGCAAAAGTTTGTCGAAAATTAATGATTAAAATATTTCTATTATATTATTGACATCGAATAATCAACAAATTTGCAGGTCATCAGATGGCAACCAAATCAAGTCAATAACACACTGAAAGCACAACAGAACATTGTTTTCTTTAATAGAGTTCCAAAAGTTGGTTCGCAAACATTAATGGAATTAATAAGAAGATTAAGCATAAGAAATAATTTTGGATTTCATCAAGATAGGGTTCAAAGGGTGGAAACAATTAGGCTCTCCCCTGAAGATCAAGCAGTGCTGTCATCTTTGGTATCTAGTTATGAACCTCCAGGAGTTTATATCAAGCATGTTTGCTTTACTAATATATCAAGGTAATAAATACCAATAAAAAAATTATTAAATTAAATGTGTATTGTGTTTTTCAGGTTTGGATTTCCTGAACCAATTTATATAAATCTTGTACGCGATCCAGTGGAACGTGTGATTTCTTGGTACTATTATGTCAGAGCTCCATGGTACTATGTCGAAAGAAAAATTGCTTTTCCTGACATTCCTCTTCCAGATCCTAAATGGCTAAAAAAGGTAATAGATACGCTAGTTAAAAGTATGTATGTACATAACACGATCCAAAAACACAAACTGTCGTAAGTTGTGAAGTGTTAACAATAAGACGGATGAGCTTACAGCAACTTTATTATTTAATAAAACAATGTGTACAGAATCATAACCTAGGTATTGTAATATTTTGAGGTTAGAAACAATGTAATTGATATTTCAACGACTGGATTGAACCTTTTATGATTAAGGCTCGATTATATGCAAAATGCATATTTGTTATTAAGAGGTATATCAACAAAATTGTAAGTTTTCTATGCATATCTAATGTTTTTTGATTAAAATAAGCCAATTAAAAAATGCATATTTTGACAACTTATATTTTAGAAAATAATGCATATTTGTGCATATTTTCTTCAAATCACAAAATTTTTAAATTTATTTTACACAGGGTGAATATGAAGTTTAGAACCAAACGGTTTTTTTTAATTATTTGCCTCTGGAAAATAATAATATAAAATAAAATAATATAAAAAATCTGATCGTATTTTCAAAACGAAATTTTTTTTTGCTTTGAATTATGCGATTTTTTTTTGTCAAAATTGTAATTTATGTATTTTTTTTAAATTAATAAAAAGTAGATAGTCTCTAACACAGTTGTTTTTGGGAGAGTATACAAAACATTTTTTTAGTGGCTTGTCATTTAAAAAAATAAAATTTTTGTAGAACTCAAATACAAAAACAAAAAATTCGAAAAATTTTATTTTTGATAAAACATTTAATTTATCAAATAATTTTTTTTTAAAAACCATAGTTTAATAAATAGTTTGGTTCCCTACTTTTTATTCACTTGGTATAAAACGAATAAATCCTTCTATGTGGATAAGTAGTTGCCTGCAAATGAATTTTAGCAAAATTGTTAAAGTGATGTAATAGTAACTTTATTTTGACGGTAACATGTGATCTGAAAAGTACAGATTTCTTAGAAAGGCTTAATTACCAGGTTATTAAAATGGCTTGTCTGAGGCAAAACCAATTTATACATATACAGGCTGTATTATGAAAAACGCCCTAAGCCATAACTCCATTATTTTTAAAGTTATGGCAATACTTCTTAGAACAAAGTTGAACATTTTTTGTCATCTATCGTTTGGGATAGATACTAAATTAATGTTGTTTTCTGTTTCATCGGAAATGACATCAACTTTATTTTTTTTAATGGAACACCTTGTATGTTTTACCAGTTTTGGATTCTTTGTTAAATTGTCTTTTTAGTACCAGATGCCTAAAACCAACCGTTCGTGAGATATGCGGCAATTAAAAATTTATTAAAGTAGGCAGTAGAAAACAATAATATCAAGTAATGTTGACAAATATTATTACTTTGCATTTTCTCTTACTATTTTTATACTTTTTGGTGTTAAGCATGGCTGATAATATGTTAACAGACATGATTCAAGAATATTTTAAATGCAATAAAAATAGTAGGGGACACCAAGGCCTTTACACTGGGCGGTTTCCAATAAGAAAAGTTTCAATTCGTCGACTTGAAGAAAATTTGAGGATGTTTGAAGTTTTTAGAAAACCCAAATTAGAACAGTTGCCTGTGATGATCCAACGTTACTTGCAATTTCTTGAGTTCATGTTCTTGCATTTTCTTCAACACCCATTTAATTCTGTATCTTTTTGAAATTGGCGATGTTCTAATTTGGGTTTTCTAAAAGCCCAAAACATCCTCAAATTTTCTTTAAGTCAGAAACCACCCAGTGTAAAAGCGTCGTGCTTTCCCACAATTTTTATTTCATTCAAAATATTCTTGAATCCTGTCTATCAATACATTATTATCCATGATATGATTAACACCAAAAAGTATAAAAACAGTAAAAGAAAATGCAAAGAAATAATTTTTGTCAACATTACTTAATATTATTGTTTTCCACTGCCTACTTTTAAATTTTTAATTGACGCATATCTCACAAACGGTTAGTTTTAGGCATATAGTACTAAAACTTGCTAAAGACAATTAAACAAAGAATCCAAAAACGGTAAAGTATACAGAGTGTTCCATAAAAAAAAATTGATATCATTTCCGGTGAAACAGAAAACAGCATTAACTTAGCATCTATCCCAAATGATAGTTGACAAAAAAATGTTCAACTGTCTTTTAAGAAGTATTGTAATAACTTTAAAAATAATAGAGTTATGGCTTGGGGCGTTTTTTATAGTACAGCCAGTATATGCGCATATTTTACGCATTTTTCGTGCATATAATCCGAGCCTTAGTTATAATTGTCACCCGTGAATATCGTAAACGAAAACACTTTTTTCTACGAGTCTAACAGAAAGTAAGTTTTTCTACCCTAGTTTCGGAAAGGAAAATGGCCAATTACCTCCCTCATCTGTCATAATTACAATAAAAATAGATGTAATTTCTGAAGAAGGTAAAAATTTTACCTCCTCCATAGAAACGAGAAAACATGCTGCTAGATTTATTAGCGAAATTGGGATATCAAGAGAAATTGTTAGTTTTGAAGTTTTTCTTGCTGGATCGTAGGAAAAATTATATGTATACACTGGAGGAAAGTGTCTTCCTCCCTAGGTAGTTACTATTCTCGACAAATTTCGGGTAGAAACTTCCACCTGTGAAAGAAAAAGGTACACTTTTTTCCTCTGTAATACGATAGTACATTACATAACGAGCACGAGTGACAATGCACAAGTGGGGAGTCTTATGCACGAGGCATCAGCCGAGTGCAGAAGCCCCACGAGAGCGTGAGACACTTTCCAACGAGTTATGTATAGTTATGTATACTATTTTTTCCACGACCCCTGTAATACCACGACGTAAAAAAACACCACTGTTTTCAATAAAACGATTTAATGTTTCTGTTAAAGATCTAACATCGGCAGTAATAAGTTAGGTGTCTATTAGTATTAGCACTTACTTAATTAAGGTGATTTAGGTTTAAATACTCGATGGTTTAAATTTGCAGAACGTCAATTTTGAACGAAGAAGTAAATAATAATAATAATATTATGTCAAAAAAAATGCATATGCCAACAAACAACCAATAACGCCCAACTCGCCAAACGCGTCTAGAGATCTCCGCCAACCTCACAAGGGTGAAGAAACTAGAAAAAATTATCCAATTTTTCAAAGTTTGTGATCGAGTTCGTTTCGGAATATGTATTATTGATTGCATCTTACAGGCGCAGGCATCGTAAAATTATGTGAAACACTCTGTATTTTTAAAAATAATGAAGTTATGATTTGGGGCGTTTTTTCTGATCCACACTGTATATAAAGATTTCCGGAAAATTGTCTGATTTGTCATTGATACAATCGAAATTTGAATTTTTCTATTGGTTCTCCGCCCCGTTGTACGATTCTCAACTTAATTTAAAAGTCACAGGCTACTGCGTTTAGGACATTAGTAAAAAAGCATAGTATTACCAGAAACCGGGCCTTATAAACACTTATTTATTGCACAAGAATAGTAGTTATTGTTTTCCAGGATTTTGAACATTGCGTATTAAGTGGTGATCGGGAATGCAAATATCTGACAGGAGAAACTCGTGAAGGAATAGGAGACCACAGACGTCAGTCTATGTTTTTCTGTGGCCACCATTCTGAATGTCTGCCATTTAATACTCCAGGTGCCTTAGAGCGAGCAAAAAGAGTTGTGGAACAACACTATGCAGTGGTTGGAGTTCTAGAAGATTTGAATACAACTTTAACAGTACTAGAAAAATACATTCCAAGATTTTTCACAGGAGCGTATGACATTTATTGGAGTAAGTATAAGTTTAGGTATATGCATGTAGTTATAAAGGATGCTTAAAACAAGTCGATCTACTTAATTCTGACAAATCTGTCAAGTTTCGTATTCAGAAATTCGAATTTAAAATTGTTTAATAGTGGAAAACTGAATACACCAAACCTTTTGTTAAATTTGTTTTGCCAGCCAAGTTTTCAGGGGAATAAAACTAAAGCTAAAAACAGTTGTAATCTAAATTTTATACATTTAGGTATCCCTACCACTAACAATATTCCCTTCTATACTACTTTTATGTTTCTTTTTACTCAATGCTTTATTAAACCGTCACTATGCAGCAGAACTCATCAAAATTGTTTTAAGTTTTTCTCTCTCCTTTTTGTTTCACTGCACTCTATGATCACTCCTTTAGTTCGATACCACATCTACCCACTACCCACTACACTAGTACTACTATAATCTACCCAAACACCAACATGTTTTTTTAAAACAAGACTATACAGGCTGTTCGGGCTAAACCCCACATTAGAAATATTGGGAGTTCTAACAATGATATTTACCTAAAATTTTGTTTATATTGAAGATTTGCTATTAGCAGATACTTTAAAAAGATTGTGTTTAATCAAAAAATTAATAATTACGTAATTTTTTAATATTCTCAAAAAATTGATGTAAAGACTCATACAAGTTCAGGGCGGCTGGTTTAACAACAAAATTTTTGAGAGCCCTGTGTGGTGGACAATAAAATCGCATACACCGTTTTTTTGCTGGGTTAAGTAGGACTTAACAGGACATAAATTTTATCAGTGTCAAATAGTAAAAATGCCAAAACATACTGAAAAAGAAAAAATTCTTATACTGTCGAAACTGGAGAAGGGCTGTAGCATAAGAGCAGCTACAGACTAATAGAATTTAAACAACAAAAGCACAATTTTAAAAATGAAGATAAAATGGGAACAAAAGGGAGTAGGTATAACCTCTTTTCTAAAAATATTTATAATAACATCTTATCAGCACTGAGTCTCATATAAAATGCAAAGTGTCAACACCAAATGATGACGTCAGAACATAAACAACTTTAATGGTATACCAGTAGTTCGACTTGTTAAAATCATCCTGCATCGTGAAAATACCCTGCGATCGAAAAAAATAAATAAATTTAGAGTAGGCGACGATTAATATTCTACAGTTGGCAACACGTTGGCTGGGAATCTGGGCTGGAGATTTTCCACACAAACTGAAAGTTTATTTTCGTTTTGTACAGCAACTTCCAACAATAAAAAATTTCTGCTCTAAAGTGAACATTATTTCACTCAAAATGAATAAAACAAAGTTTCCGTTGACATTTGATGTCAATAATCAGGATTGCCATCTGAAGGACTTTAATCACCCCCTACTCTATTTTTTTTTTGATCGCAAGGTATTTGATTCTAAAATATGAACACCTATACATTTTATAATTTTTAGATGAAATTAGTAGATTCAACCCCATCAACAGGAACGCTTTTAAACCCCCCGTTAGTGAAACTGTTAAAGAAATCGTAAGACAAAATTTTACAAAAGAACTAGAATTTTACCAATTCTGTAAACAAAGACTGCACAAACAATATTCAGCCTTACAACTGGATAATAAAACATAGAAAATTATATAGCACACTCACGCATTTTATTTATATTTGTCTATAACTAACGGGTGTTTATTTAAATTTGGCGTTTTACTTGGCGGTGATACACTGGCGGACACGGAATTTTGGACGATTTATCATTCGACTGACATAAAAATGTAAAATGAGCCTTAGGTAACTAATCTCACTTTCGGTTTTTGTAATTTTTATCCTGAAGCTAGAGAAAAAATGACAACAAATCAAAATAATTTATTGAACTTATATAAAAAGACGTATTGCTGGCATTATTCTTTCGGAAAATCGACGCCAAAAATAAATTTCAACTAATTTAACTTTCAAATTTTAGTTTCAAACGTCAATCATAATGACAATAAAGCGTGGCTTGCATTGACATTTTTGGACTGACATAAATTTGATGTCCAAAATTCCGTGTCCGCTAGAATATGAGTGTGTTGTGAACAGATCACAATTTTTAATACGCCCGGCCAAGTGTCAAATGTCAGATTAATAACTTTCAATACTATGGTTCGTTCACAATCGATCTTTTATGGATAGCTTTGACTCCAAAATTAAAAAAAAAACACCCGTTACATTGTATTGAGTGTCTAATTAAAAAGTTCATCAAATTACATTTGAATTTTTGTTGGAAAAGTTTTGACAAGTGTGACAAGATAACGTTCTTCGTCTTGGTTATTATTTTCAATTAAAACAAAACAAGTCTTGTCAGTTGGTAATAGTGAACATGGGTTTGTAATGAAACGTGCAATCAACATTAGAAGTATTCAACTCCATATAGCGCGTTTAGAATGACAACCAAATGATGTATTGATGTAGTATGAAACCCTGTCGATATTTTGCTAAATAATTTTATTTTGAGCTTCCGCTACTAAAAATTTTATTTAATCTCAGAGATGCTTCGAAAAATTTTAAAGAATCTAAGTATAATTTGATGAACTTTTCAATTGAACACTCGATATTTAGATAGTAAATGTGCACACTATGAACAATAAATACACAACATGTACTTAAGTATCAAGCGATCAAGATAATTTGTAATCGAGTCATCTCTGCATCCTAGAACGTATGTCTGTTTTTGAACTAACTTTACGGGAAACGTCAAAGAAAATGACAAGTCGTAAGGTAAGACGGCAAAATGGGTTGAGTAGGACCGTTCTTTTTTGAAGGTAAATTATAAATTTAGTTATTATAATCATCACCTTTTTGATCAAGCCATTTTACCTTTGGACTTGTCATTTTACTTGACATTTTACAGTCTTGCGTTTTCGGATCCAAGGATGACTCGATTACAAATTATCTTGATCGCTCGATATAACTACTATACAGGCTGAGTCACATACAGGGTGTTAAAAAAAGATTGTAAAATATTGAAGGAGGTAACAGTATGGACCAAAATAAACAAAAAATTCTTAATAAACGTGGGTCCGCAAAGTATCGAATGTGAAATTTTTTAGAATTTTTACTAGAAGCTTCTCTTTTTTGTTTCAAGAGACTGCAAATTAATGTTTCAAAAAACGAATAATTTTTGATATCTCCGAAAGCGTTATTTTGCGAATCCATATTTATTAAAACTTTTTTGTTTGTTTTGGTCTATACTATTACCTCCTGAAATATTGTGCACTCTTTTTTTTAACACTCTGTATAATAAAGACCCTAACCGATTTTCAGACGCAACCCAAAATACATTCTCATATACCACTATGCATTAATTAATGTACTGTTCCAAATTTTTCAAAGATATAAACATAGATACCTGAGATAGCAGTGACAGTTTATATAAATTGGAGTCCCACAGTGTACTTTTAATGGTACAAATTCAGCCACATTTTTGTGGCTTTCCTCATATATCAAGATTATGTCAGTTTCTTCTTCGTTTGAGTATATTTTGAATTCAAGGAAAAAAAGTTAAATTGATGACACTGTCAAATTTAATGAATGACATCTCAACAACTACTTTGATTCAAATTTAATAATCAAAATTTTTCAAACACAACAAAAGCCAAGTTATCTGTGAGAATATATTTTAGATTGCGTCTAAAAATCGGTTAAGGTGTTTATTATAAATGACTCGCCCTGTATACATAGAGGTCGCCCCGTTAAATATTATTGAAGTCCAGCACACACCGAAGGTTCTACTAAGATAATAACACGTCCTCTACTCATCACCACCGTAAAGTCAAAACAGCTAATGAATTACTGACAACTACAAATAGTATACCAATAATAATAATAATGATAATAAGATGTTGATAGGTTTGTACAACATGTTAAATTATTAAATTAAATAACATGTTATTTCGATGGATATGTATTTTTTGTGAATCTGCTGTAGCAGACGATGTTAAAGTGTCAAAATGTATGTAAAGTTTGTTTTTTATTTAAACGGAAACCACCAAGTCAAAATTTTGGTGAAAAAATTGTTAGCAGCACATCTTCAGAGCCACAAATCTTGTTTTTGTTTATAGCAACTTTGTTCATAGTTATTTATGAATGTAGATGCAGATGAATGTAGATAATGCCAGAGGCGAATGAAAGGAGCCGAGGGCATTTTTATTCCAGAATTCCAGAGGTGCATACAAAACTTTCCTCCCAACAGACAAAATTAATAATAACAATAACATAAGAAAATAATAAAATTTTCAAATAATGTTAAATAATAATTTCCAAAATATTGGGTTCATTGAATTGCATTTTTAAATGTACTAGATTATTAGTCAAAAACAAGAGAACAAACCAGGCACCCTTAATTTAATCGCTTTCTTTTTCATTCATGTTTATTTTCTATTATCGTCAATTTCTTGCCAACGTACACTGTTTGACGTTTAAAAAAAAAACAGACTAATAAGTACGAAGTGATCCAAAAAGACTGAGTCTGTTGGCAACAGATTTGAAAGATTTTTTGTTAATAATTTGAAACACTGCAACCGGATACGGTTTTGCTTAACAAATACTTGACGTACAACGCCGCATGATTGTTGAATTTTTCTTAATTAAAGCGTACTCTAATGGTAAGCTTTAAAAATTAAGGTCAGAATTGCCTACATATTCAGTCATTGTGGCATAGAATAATTAAGAAATGTTGTTAATGGTTTGCCTAATTTATTTAATAATTATTATTTTAAACATATTTTGTATAAAATTCAGATTGTCCAATATTTATTATGTCACGATATATAAATATGACAGCGAAAGTGATGACAAGTTGTAGATTTAATAAATTTTTATCTGTTTATTAATTTTATTCAATGATTTCCCTCACATAACATCACAATAGTATATTAAAAAACAACTGTTACAAACACATCTCATTGTTATATGAGTGTAACAAATACACGAATATTACAATGAGAGGTGGTTTTTTAACTATTTTTTCAGATATACCAAAATAGAAAAATGTATTTTTTTCTATAGCAGATGTTAAACTATTTCTTTATCAACTCTTTTGAGTCGATCTACTTTTAGCACTTTAAACGCAAGGGGAGATAAAGTAACACTCTTACAGCAAAGGTAAATAAAATGGTGCAACGCATAGTAACGGAGAAACACAATTGCGATTTTTGTGCCAAGAATTGTAATTTTCTTTCAAATTTATTTTCTCTCTCAAACTTGAAGTCCTGCTATACAGTGTGTTTCCGGTTAAGTGAAACGACTCTTGTAAAAGATGAAAAAAATTATTGCTTTGGAAACTTTCAAAAAAACTATTTTTCTGTAAACTGCCTTTTATGTGGCAAATACGACAGAATCAACATTTAGGCCCGTATACTAAATTTGAAAATCATCGACTAACTATGATTTTTAATTTTTTTCTGAGGTAATTGCTTTTTATTAACAATAACGTCAAACATTTATTTAGTACTAATAATCTAAATGTAATTTTTTTTATTTGTAATAAAAGAACTGTTAAAATTAAAAAATTAAATTCTTTAATTTGTGAATAATAAACATAAAAAATACTGACAAATCAGTTGGCCGATGATTTTGAAATTTGGTATACGGACCTAGATGTTGATCTAAACAACTTTTCTTAATAACCTTTGTATTTGCCACACACAAGGCACTTTATTCTGCAGAAAAATAGGTTTTTTGAAAATTTCCCAGGCATACTTGATTTTTCAAAACTTAAATTATGTTAGAAATTAGTCTTTAACTATCCGGGGACACACTGTARATAGTATGCATGAASTACAGAAGCCAGTGGATAAAATATCCGTGATTCCATGCTAACGGGATTTACATGCATTTCTGAATACTACGCATCATCAAAAGTTTGACAATAGATACTATTGCGAGAGAAAAATGCCATATAAGGTAAGATACCAGGAACATGGAAAAAATGTTAAAAAAATTTTATCTATAAAAATTTCGAAGTTATGAAAGTTTAAAGTTTGCACTCTGACTCTATTTATTTCTTTCTGTAGGAGAAATAATTTTCCAATTTTTTTTGCTACAGGCTATTAGAAGAGGAAACAAGGAAGCTGTATCCTAAATTGTAACTCTGTTCAATGTTATTTGCGGCATTTATTGGCAAAATTTTTGTACCTTTATTAAATAATTGTAAAAAAACATACAGGATCATCAGTATCATTAAATAGACATAAAATGTGTCAAATGTCAAAATTTTTTGACAGATAGAATTTTTTAAACATTTTTTCCATGTTCCTGGTATCTTATGTTACTTGAAATTTTTCTCTGGGGCGCGAGTTCTGGCGCACCCTGTCTCTTTTTTTGAATATAAAACTTTGTTACATACATTATGTACCTATTATCAGATTATAAAATATAAAGAAAAGCATACTTCACATTTTATTTTATTCAGTTGTAAGTTATAATACAGCACAATTTTTATATATTTTTTATAATAGTCAATGAATAATACTTGAAATACTTGACCGAGGAGTAATCGTTCCATTTTCTTCATCAGACTGGTCTGGAGATATCCTTATTGCCTGGTACCATTGATTTGTTAAATCCGTCATTTGGCTTTTGCAATCCTTCAGTTCCTGTAATAATAAAGTAAATAGTAGTAATTTATTTTGTAGTCCAATTGGGGAAATATATTTTTAGCGTCAATTTTCCGAAACAATAAAACAACAATAATTGCAGATTTGCTCGCACTGTATATTAAAAAAATACATATTTACCTGCTGTGTAAATCTCCTAGTAAAAAATGGGATGAAATACTTCAAGTCGTATTTAACAAAACCCTTTATTCGATCTGAGACGAACGACACCTCCATTTCCCCTTCTGTAGTTTCAGACAAATGCTCAGAATCTAGGGCTTGGCCCCATTCTCTAGTCTTGCTTAAAGTAACTTCTCTATCTTTTCGGCGTCTTTTAAGTCGTCTGGACGGATTTTTCGTTGCTTGCATAAGCTTCAACAAAGGCATTGTAGAACCCCCCAAAAACAATGTTGTAAACAAAACAATAATCAATGTTGTTGTAATAATAACATGTCGCGTTTCATCACTGAAGTTTAAATGAAGCGACAATGCGTATGAAATGGCACCGCGAAGACCACTAAACCACATTATAAACATCATTTTTTTGGTAATTTGATGTTCCCGAAATCTATTAACTAGAATTGCTAAAGGAAAAATATTACAAGCACGGCCTAGGAGACACAAAATAATGCCCCAAATAATAAGAGCGGGCTCGACCCGATGTTTAAAACTAAACAAGGCCAACCCTAAATATGCAAAAACACAAGTTTCTGCAATGAAAGCTAAGGTTCTGAGAGTCTGTTGCATGGTAATTTGAGTTACGGTAGATAAATTGAAGTGGGTGTAATGTGACATCACAATTCCACAGAACAGTATAGCCATAATACCACTAAGATGAATACCTTCAGCTAACACATAAGGTGCATAAGTAAATACTAACATCATAGCGAATTCTAAAGAAGGATTCTTTCTGAGATCGACGTGTTTTAGAAATAGAGCACTTACAAGAGCACAAATCACCCCAATACCGGCGGAGGCGAAGAACATTAGACAGAATCGTTGAATACCCATTACAATTGCTTCCCCTGTTGACATTACTGGATTATTTGACTCTAATGCTGCTGTTGTTAAAACAATAGCGATTGCATCGTTTAAAATACTTTCACCAAAAACCAACATATTAAGTACAGGATCAACGTTTAGTGCGTGGAATATAGCAACAGTTGCTACTGGATCAACAGCCGAAATTAAGGAACCAAAAGCAAATGATTCCACAAAACTCAATTTATAAACGACTTCCGCTAAACCTAAGAAGTATATTCCAAACCCGATTATGAAGGCCGAAATTGTTGTTCCAAATATTGCAAAAACTAAGATTGAACCTATATTTTGAAAGAAATTTCCTTTATGTAGATTGTAACCTGATTCAAAAATAATCGGTGGCAATAAGACTAAGAAAAATGCCGTTGGTGAAAAAGCCTCCTCTTTCCGCCAGTTACTAATATTTCGGTTAGATAAAGTATTCATTGCTAAACCAATTAATGCCCCTAGAAAAACTATAACTATGCTCTCTGGAACATATTGAAAACCTGTTTGAAGCATAAAATGAATTAGTAAAATCCCTAGTGCTAAAACACAAAGAAGAAAAAATATAGCCATTGAACTGTTATGTTCATCTTCAGCTGCCCCTTTATCGGGTAGAATAGGATCAGACAATGTCGTATTAGAGGTAGTGTTTTTAAAACGATGACTTGAAGGGGTAACATTTTTGATAGGTGTAGATGGGGGACTTTGAGCAATGTCTTGTCCTGCAATTATTGGTTTTCTTGATGATGAAATTTCAGAGGGTGAATGTGTAGTCGAGAGAATTCCATATGTGTGGTTGGAATTTACCACCGTTGAGTTATAGATGACAGTCACATTTAGTGGCTCTTCCAAAGAGACGCAACGGCACAGCAACAAAACATACACAATTTTAACAACTTTCATATCACTCACTTTACCACAGGAAATTTAATTAAACTATCTCTTCACATTGTATCAGATGAAAATAAATATCTGAAATAAAGGAACTGTTAATATCCAATCCTGTAACATAGAATTAATTTGCTCACAGTGCCTTTTGTGTCGTTTTATTTGTCAAAATTTCACTTTAATTTTTTATAGTGACTCATTCGTAATTATAATTTTTTTCACTACTATATAATTATTATGACAATTTCGAGAAGGTGACTGACAAGATATAAAAGGTTGAAAAGGTTAGGAGACATTCTTTACATATTTTGTTCAAAAGCGCGAAAAATACAGTCGCCAATCAATTCATAAGTTCATAACCACTAAAGTAAAAAAAATCAGTAATAGAATAATGTCACAAAATCGTCAGCAAACACGAAATAAAAAAAAACAAGTTTTATTTTGTCAACGAAATAAAATCCTGCACATTTTTCTGATTTTTAATTGTAGTATACAATTTGACAACTCTAAAAACTCATTTTTCTACCTCACATGCAGAAGTCTGTCTAATGCAAATGTCATCTAATCTACTTGCCGAAGAATCTACGTAGACGAGAATATACTAAACATAACCAATTTTTATTTATTTTTATTGACAAATATATTCAACATTTTAAAGTTGATTTTAGAAAACAATTGTGTTATTCTGGTGTAAAATAATAAATAGTAATTTATACCGTTTTGAAAATCCGGTGAATTAAATAACAGAGGTTGGTGACAGTAGAGAATTTCGCGCGTACGCACATTATCGAGCAAGTATATTCGCGGACACTCTTGGCGTTGTTTCCTTGTGGTTGGGTTACCTGACGTCCGTTATTTATTGTAAGTTTGGAGTAAAGTGTTTTCAAATTGTGCAGCATTTAAGTGTTTCAAATAAAAGTTAATATATTTTTTCAGACCCATACATAAATATAATGAGTACTCAGTCCGCAAATCCTTGTGAACTAACTTCGCATCCAAAAACTCCGACTTTGAAATCAAAAATACTGGTTGTTGGAGCCGGAGGGATAGGATGTGAAATATTGAAAAATTTGTGTGTTTCAGGCTTTCAAGACATTGAAGTTGTAAGGTTTTGAGCTTAATTAGTATACTTTTATTGTAATATTAATTTTTAGATTGATTTAGACACAATTGATGTCAGCAATTTAAACCGTCAGTTTCTGTTTCGAAAAGAACATGTTGGGAAATCCAAAGCAGTTGTTGCTAGAGAAAGCATAATATCTTTTAATTCAAACGTTAATATTAAAGCATATCACGACAGTATTTTTAAGTATTTATACCAATTTTCTGTTAAATATTATGTTAATAATTTATTTTTAGCCAAGAATACGGTGTAAATTTCTTTAAAAGGTTTGATTTAGTTTTGAATGCACTAGACAACAGAGCTGCACGCAATCACGTTAATCGTATGTGCTTAGCTGCTGACATTCCTTTAGTTGAGTCAGGAACTGCTGGATATTCCGGCCAAGTGGAACTCATCAAAAAGGGGGTAACACAATGCTACGAATGTCAGCCAAAACCACAACAACGGAGTTATCCTGGTTGTACAATTCGAAACACTCCATCTGAACCAGTCCATTGCATTGTTTGGGCTAAACATCTGTTTAAGTAAGTTGTGTGTTTTCAAAAACCACTATACTAAATGCGTAATAAAAAGAATGTACGGCATTTTATGAATTTAATATTCTTGAAACAGAGGCGGAACACGAGATTTTCTAGGGGGCGAAGCAACAACTCCAGTCTCTGCTTACTTCAATGTTGCTAACGTAATTTCAAAGTCACAGGCTCCTTAGATATTTAATTTAACTTGTGATTACGGAGAACTACACACTAGAAAACGAAACGAGATACAAAATTACTCGATTTTTTGGGCCCAAAAAAAGTAGTACCACGGAATAAAAATGAGGGCGCTTAGAGCGTTTTACCGTCTCAGTTTTAAATCAATTTAAATTCAACCAGTTTACTAATTGTTTGAAAAAAAAAATAAGTAAAGCTTTACATTCTTAATAAGCTGTGAAAAACCAACGACAAAATTTTTCACGAGAATTATGAGAAAAGAAATAAATATTTAAAATCTGTGCTCCGTTTCATGCTTTTCAAAATGCTGCGAATACGGCTAAAGGTACAAGAAAAATTTAAGAAAGAAAGTTGTAAAGAGTAAAATTCTCTAGTAAAAAGTTCGCGAGACCATACCTCTATCTTTAATGGTTTAGACCTCAAAGACGTTTAAAGCCGCTCAAGCGACGGATTCGTTTTATTTTTACTGGTGATTCAGTGCCAGAGGAACACTGTAAAGCAATTTAAACCTAAGATAGAAATATGGTCTTGCGGACTTTTTTGTAGCAAATTTTATTCTCTACAATTTTGTTTCTTACACTTTTTTTGTATCTTTAACCGTATTCGCAGTGTTCTCAAAAATATTGGGCGGAACGCAAACTGATAATTGTTTATAATTTATTTTTAATATTGTTTTCGATATTTTTGAGAACGCTGCGAATACCGTTGAAGATACAAAAAAGTGAAGGGAACAAAGTTGTAGAGAATTAAATTTCCTACAGAAAAGTCCGCGACCATATCTCTATCTTCAACAGTTTAGGTTTAAATTAATTTTCTGTCACTTGACCTTTGGTAAAAATGACTCGTATTCGTCGCTTGAGCGTCTTTAGGACCTAAACCATTGAAGATAGAGACATCATCTTGCGGACTTTTTCTTGAAAATTTTATTCTCTACTACTTACTTTTTTATATTTTTCTTGTATCTTTAACCGTATTTGCAGCATTTTCAAAAATATGAGACGGGGCGTAAATTGCTAAATGTTTGAAATTTTTTTAAATATAGTTTTCAATAAAATTTTTGCATTATCTTCATCTCTTATTATTGAGAATTTAATGCTCTATCTGTCTATATATTTTTATTTTGATTACCGTTAGGTAAATACAGCCATTTTTTCTATTTCATTGCTCTTAAAACTTAAACGGGAAAGGAACAACTGCATCATGTTCGATTTCTGTATTTTTGAAGTCTTTTTGTTCTTGATTACAACATGTATCTCACGATATGATCAAATGTTACATGTTAATCAAAATTTAGAAAAAGCGTTTTTGCAAAGAGTGCTTTGCAAAAACCCCAACAATTTTAATTAGCAAACTAAATTTTGCGAGTTACAGAGAGAGACTACAGTTTACATTTATTATTATAATCAACACTGTAGGCACTTTACTGTGGCGCTCCCTAGAAAACATAAAAGAGTATAAGAAACAGAGTCTCTTTGTTGGCGTAGGTGGCCATGATTGGATTGTATGATAGAAAGGATTTTTGTGAAATGTGAACAGCATTTTTTTAGACAATAGGAGCCATCAAATTTTCGGACGTGGTTTAATAAATACTAGGTATTTGATTCAGAAAGCTTTATTTTGATAAATAAAAGCTTTTTCAGTAACTTGAATTATGAGAAGTCAAAAATCTTGCTAATTGTTTATTAAAGTGACCAACTTCAGAAAATTTAAAATCAGGACATTAATAAAAATAATTATAATAATTTTATTTCAGAACACAAAATAAAACATAAAGTAGGTCTTACACCAACGTAATTGAATCTAATAAGAATATAGTATGTTGATATGAAAAACAAAAAACAATTTGTAGACCCTAATCTAATGTGTTAATTTAATTTTTTTCTATATGAATTGCTTTGAGAGTCCTCTCATTCTCTGCAAATATTAAATTAATATTTAATTTGGTCATTATAAGTGATTTTTAAGTGTTTCAGTGCTTTCAATTGAGTTTTTTCAGAGGACCAAACGCAATGTCCACATTTCCATTTAATTAACATACAAGAAAACTTTTTTAACTTTATTTTCGTCACAAACTCTCAAAAACCCATGCTTGGGTTTGTTTGTCCTTAAATTGGGACAAATCAGGACATAAACATAAAATAGGACATTACAATAAAAACCTAAACATGTTCTGGCTAAATTAGGATGGTTGGTCATTGATCATAACACCTTATTTGGAGAACCCTGAATCTTTATATTTCTTGCTCTATATTTTCTATTTGTGTTTATGTTTAATCAAATGCATCTTCTATGTTTTATACAGGGTGCGCCAAAACTCGCGCCCTAGAGAAAAATGCCATATAAGGTAAGATACCAGGAACATGGAAAAAAAAATATCTATGAAAAAAGTTATGAGGGTTTAAGGTCTGTACTTTGACTCAATTTATTTCTGTTGGAAAAATAATTTTCCAAGTTTTTTTGCTATAGGCTATTAAAAGAGAAAACAAGGAAGCTGTATCCTAAATTGTAACTCTGTTCAATGTTATTTGTGGCTTTTATTGGCAAAATTTTTGTCCCTTTACTATATAATTGTAAAAAAATATACTGGGTGTCAATTTTAAAACTTGCAATCGGCAATATCTCTAGAACTAAAAAAGTTATTGAGAACCACTCAAAACCGTTTCGGTGGTTTTTAGGGGGAATTAAAATGGCATGGTAAGTAACGCTCCTCCACCCACCCTTCAAGCCACCTTAAGTTGAAAATTTAAAATGGCACGACCCTACTTGCGATACATCGTTGGAAAGCCCATAACAAGCGCTTTTCAAAAATGTCATACAACAGCCTATTTGGTAAAGTCATTTTTACAATTATTCAAAAACGAAGACGTTAGATTTTCATTTTTTTTATTATATTCAAGGGTGGGTGGAGGTGTATCACTTATCCTGTCATTTTAATTCCCCCTAGGAACCACCAAAACGGTTTTGAGTGATTATAAATATTTTTTTCAGTTGAGAGAAATTGCCGATTGCAAGTTTTAAAATTGACACAGTGTATACAAGATCGTCAGTATCATTAAATAGATATAAAAAAATGTCAAATGTAAAAAAATAAATGTCAAAATTTTTTGACAGATAGAATTTTTTAAACATTTTTTTCATATTCCTGGTATCTTACCTTACTTGAAAATTTTCTCTGGGGCGCGAGTTCAGTATTTGAATAATTTAGTTAAATGTAAGTTTCTTGTTTTCCAATAAAAACAACTAAATTAGTCAATAAAATTATAAAAATTTATTATTATCATAATCACAAGAATAGCGAAATGATACTGAGTATTTAATTCATTAATATTAATTAATAATAAGACATGAAATAACCTATTGTATTTTTTATGTTTTGTATGTTGTACTATTTACAATACGTATTTTAAAATGGAATTTACTTTTTAATTTGTTGTTTTTCAGCCAACTGTTTGGTGAAGAAGATCCTGACCAAGATGTTTCACCAGATACCGAAGATCCAGAAGTAAAAAAAGATGGTGCTTTTTCTGAAACTGAGTCTGGAGATGTGAAGAGAAAATCAACACGTCAATGGGCACAAGAGGTGGATTACGATCCTGAAAAGCTCTTCAACAAGTTTTTTAGAGACGATATTAATTATCTACTATCCATGGGTAAAACTTTTGAATGCACAACAATAACTATTATTCTTTGACGTTTTCATTCTTTACAGAAAATCTTTGGAAAACACGTACGCCGCCAGTTCCACTTTCTTGGGAGAAAGCACTTAACCGTGAACCCAAGATCTCTCAAGTTGATAGTTCAAAATCACTTGATATGCAAGTTTTGTCAATAAGCAAATACACTCAAATGTTTGCGTCTACAGTGAACATTTTAAAGAAGGAAGTCGCTGATAAGAAGTACCTTATGTGGGATAAGGATGATACGCCTGCTATGGACTTTGTAACGGCTTGTGCCAATATACGTGCATTTATATTCTCCATTTCACAGAAGTCAAAATTTGCCATTAAATGTGAGAAATATTTCATACAACTGTTCTATTATTGTATTATTTGATATTTCAGCTATTGCAGGAAATATAATTCCAGCCATTGCTACTGCAAATGCTTTAATCGCCGGGGTTGCTGTCTTGTACGCTTTCAGGGTATTGCGAAATGAATTTGAAAATTGTCCTACAATATATTTACGCCAAAAATCAGTTTATTCAAAAGTTTTGTTAGCGTCAGATAATGGCTTACAAAAACCTAATCCCAATTGTTACGTATGCTCCTCAAAACCAATCGTCAACGTCTTTGTGAACGTCAATAAGATGTTAGTGAATGAATTTGAAACAGAAATTTTGAAGAACACACTTAATATGGTAGCTCCAGACGCTATTTTAGATGGAAAAGGGGTTGTAGTTATTTCATCAGAAGAAGGAGAAACGGAGGTTTGTTAATATATTATTGCCGTTTACTGTCTTCATATTAAGTATTTTAGATCAACAGCAATAAAAAGCTTTGTGAAGTTGGAATCGTGGACGGAAGTATTCTGAAAGTGGATGATTTTCTACAAAATTATGAGTTGACTATAAATATTAGTCACTATGAAGCGAAAGAAAAGGACGATCCAGCGTTTAAATTCGTTGCAAATCCTGATGATTTGAAAGCAAAACAGAGCGATGGTATATTTTTCTAAATTATTAAGACATTTTTTTTTATATCAAGGTAAATTTACAGGGATAAAGAATGGAGTTACCGCTACCAAAAACAATTCACCAAATCAACAAGTGCACAAAGATAATGATGATTTGGTTATATGTACAACAGATGATGATTTTGGAGCTTCATCAAGTAAGAAGCGTAAGCTAAATCCTATTGAAGAGGATGATGACCTTATTATGTTAGATGAACAACTTGAGTAGTTTCAAGAAGTTATGTTATCGATGTTTTTGTGTTTTTTTTTTTCATATCTGGAAATAAATATTAAAAAGCTAAAATTATGCCTTATTCTAATCACTTGAAATTTTTTTGAACTCAGGTCTCGTAAAATTCTGTTAAACACCTTATATAAACTCATTCAAGATAAATAAGTCACCTCAACTCACATACGTTGGAATGGTTCTAAGATTAAAGAGCTACCTAATTCTAAAGTTATTGTTAATAGTGGTTCACTAAATTTTTATACAGGCTGAATATAAAATATGGAACCAAGCGGTTTTATTTTTAATTATTTGCCTCCAGAAAATAATAATTAAAGTAATATAAAAAATGTGATTGTATTTTCAGAACGAAATTTTGTTTTGTTTTTGAGATTTTTTTTGTCAAATTGCAATTTGTGAAATTTTTTTTTTGAAAAAATTAAAAATAAAGCAGATAGTTGTAATCCTTAGAGTATAGCTTTTATGAGAAAAATGATTTTATAGTAGGTTGCCATTTAATTAAATATTTTTTTTAGAAGTCAAAAACAAAAGGAAATTTCGAAAAATTTTATACTTGTTAAATCATCACATTTTTATAGTACTTTATCACTCATCAATTAGTTTTTTTAAAAAATAAATAGTTTAAGCAAAAAACGTTTGGTTCCATACTTTCTGTTCACCTGCCTAATGTTTTTTGTTTTCATTAGTTTTTTTTTTCATAAGCCATTTGCTATATTTATTGAGTTTTTGACGGAATAATAAAATGTGATACTTTACACAAAACTAAAGAAATGATGGCGTTTCATTAAAAAAGGTCAGTGGCGTCGTCACACCAAAATGCAGCCGTATAGTATAATAAGAAAAAGAGCAGTCACACATGAGATTAGTTATAATTTTTAGGAATATATAGGTGCAGATATTAAAAATACAGTTGTATTTGAGGAAAACATGTATTTTCTTCTGTTTATAACAAGTCCAAACACTTGTTCAACTTCACCTCGACATTAATTATTCAATAATACCTATAATCAGCTTGCTTGGGGCATTTATTTCGTGAAAATTATAACAAATATAAGACAATCAAAAAAATCATTATTTACAAACTAAATAATTACCTTCAACTGATACAAACTTGAAAATTTGTTTGAAATAATAAAAATAAAAAACGCAATGCTTGACCATGAATATTGTTCCAACTACTTATTGAAAGAAAATGTGTTCAATACACAGAATAATCCTTTATAACTAAACAAATAAATTTGTAACTTACAATAAAATAATCCAAAGATCAGGATCATTGTTTGTAACATCACAATATAATAACAGCATGAGCTATTTCAATTAAAGAGTACGCAAACATACATATATTTATATCCTGAAACAATACAAAATCGATCGTTTTTTAATTAAACTTAGTATGAAAAAGTTAAAGTTTTAGCTTATAAATAACAATTCACCGTCTATCTCTGTAACGTTGACGGTTTTCTCTATCCCTGTCCCTCGATCGGTCACTCGTTCTCCACAGAAATTCATCGACTGACCGATCATACGACCTCTTATCCGAATAGGAATTCATTCTTGATGACGAATAATCAGGCAGAGGTAATCCGTCGTAATATCGAGGAGGGGGTAAACTTTCATATGCAGAACTCGCATAAAGACCTGGTGGTGGAGCATAGGGCAGCGGAGGTAGTTGATGTTGCATTGTACGCATATAATCTGCAACGTAAGCTTCAGCAGCTGCCGCAGTGTACGGTCTTGGCGACTCCCTATCATAGAAAAGAGAAAACCGATCTCTAGGCCTTGGTGGAGACGTGGACCGTCTATACGAACTAGATGTGAGGCCACGAGTTGACAGAAAGTATTTTCTTCGCAAATAAGTGGAGCCCCGACTTCTGTAGTTGAACGATGTTTGAGCGGCGATTGGCATACGGGTTTTGGGGTGGCGATGTCCCCGTAGATTATTCTTCTTCGCTGCTTCCTTGGCTAGACGTAAAATGGGGGTGACTTCTATACCCTCATCCTCGGGGAAAAGACGGCACAACTCCTCGGCGACTCTTGGCTCAATTTCTTGTCCATCACGTCCGATTTTGACCGGTTTTCCGTCATTCCAGGGATTATATAAATGCATGGTGTTGGAAAAAGGAAGTTCCTTGCGGCATATCCAGTCCACTTTGAAAACTCCTCCTAAAGCTTTAGCTGAGAGTCCTGGAGGTAAAACCCAGGAGATGGCTGGCACATCATGCCGAGACTCACTATGTAATCTTGCAAAACCAGCAAACTTCCCACTCTCTTTCACAGAAAAAATTAGCAATACATTTCTGGACTCCCTGTAAGCTTTGTTTAGATTTGCTTCGTTTTGGGGAAGGGTAGACCAGACTCCTTTAGCCTTTGACAGCGTGATATTCTCAGCATTATTTGATTTAATCACAAAGAAACGGGCGTCACGAAACAAATAATTTAATTTGGTCATGTAGTCATAGGATTTACCTCTTGCATCCTTTGACCGTGCACGTTTTATTACAGGTGAGCTACTCTTGTCTCTTGAACGACTTCTCTTGTGTCGAGAAACACGTCCCTTTGTTGATGATTTCGTACTAACTGAACTTATGCTAGGTGCACTAGAACTTTCTGAACTACTGGAAGACACGTCGCTCTCGTAGTTTACTTCATCCAGTTTCATATCATCTCCCATGTCCAAACTAAGATTCAGGTTTTCTACATCAACACTGCCATTCTTACTATTTTTTGAGTCCATCATAATACGGTTTATAAGAAATTTACTCCTGGTTACTATTTACAATATTTTTTTCTCCACATGGAAATTGGAAAACTGCATTTATACTCAAGTGTCCGATCATACCATGTAGCAAAATAATAATCGAATTATATCAAATAAATCAAAACATTAAACCACCATTACGATTTGACGAATATTATTGTTAGTTACTTTCGTTAGGTTAGGATGGTAAGGTAACTGTCATTTACGTGAGAATAGCCATCTATTGGATAAAAAGAAAATAATGTACTTTCATGTATGCAACTAAATAAACACCGTTGTAATTAATGTTATTTCGATTATTTTTAGATACTATGTCGTACATAATTAATTAAATTAATTATACCTGTAGTTAACGTGTATTCATTTAAAAATAAACTCGCAGTAGGCGAGCATATGTCGTTGCCCTGCCCCATCAACATAAAATAACCAATTACACTTAAAGTCTGACTTAATATGTACAACCATGAAATTAACCAACAAAGAAAATTAGTCTTGATAGATTTATCCTTTTCTCGTCTGGGCATTTTTTGAGTACAACTGATTCCCGTTGGCGCTTTAATCTTGGGAAATTTTTTGACATATCCAGTTTTTTAGCTTAAATTGTTCAACCTCATAGTATCAATTCTCCTTGGCGTATATCTGGTTTTGTAGTATCCTTCCTTCCCAGCTTTTATTAATCGCGTTATTTTTCGTGAATTAATTCAAAATCATTCAGTTTTTCCTTAGTAACTCCCGTAACTAAGAAAAAACTAGGAATTAGGTACTGCTCGAATGCATTTTTTACGAAATGCTCAGGCGGGATATTGATAAACATTTCATTAAGAAGTCAGTGTTAAAAACAAATCGAAAATAAAATTTAATCTAAATCTTCACAATGCCAAAATTACTGTCATTAAATTACTGTCAGCACAACTGTCAGAATGTAAAAATCAAAAATTTGTCAAAACAATTTAGTTTAAATGTGACCGCCTTGGTTATGATTTTATACTCTTTTTCATATTAATGTACATTGCATTGTCAAACGTGAAATTAATCGTGAATTAAAATTTAATTTAAATTAGATGCGCTTTTAATAGACATTAATTAATTAATCGAGTCATGGTTTTAATTTCAAGCAAATATGAGAAAAAAACTAAACAAAACGGGAAGTCTCTTCTGAAGTCCCCAAATATTTGGCAGTTTTCAGGTCCAATAATAATTCATCCGTTTAGGGAAATTTACAAATGAAACATGTCTATACAATATTATTTATACAAATTTATACAAATATATTTATTTACAGACCAGTAGGTAATATACAATACACAATGAAAAATACATAATAAAAATTTTGCCATTCTGTGGTCAGAAGTATGAATTGGTTCAGTTCAAAATTTACAATGTCTTATACGATACGATAATGACCGCCCCAAATGACAGTTACCAGACCGAGTTGTAAGATACGAGTATATGTCTTAATCCTTTGTCGCCTAATGAAAGGAAAAAAATTATTTTGTAAATTACTACACTTTTTCAAAAAACTGAATGATAAATGATAAAGTAGTAAAGCTGAAGATTCCCATTTTTTGATTTTAATCGATAGCTTTTGAAATATGTAAAAACTTGTTAATTCTTTACATAAAGGCGGATTTAGGTAAAGAATTGAAAATTAACAGTGATTTCAATACATTCCAGGCAAAAATTTGTCGTTGAGGGTGTTATTTGCCTAAGACATTTTATGTTTATTATCGGTATTCTAATACACAGGGCAAAAAGGTTTCAGATTCTGTGAAAAATTTCACGGAAATCACATGAAATCCTTTATTGTTGATAAATAGTAAGCAACCCCTAACTTTTACATTAATTAATAAATTTATTGGTAAATAAAACAATAAATTAATTATTTTGTGAAATGGTGACTTTGGACATCAAAACCATGAATCAGATCAATTTTTAATTTTAAAGAAACGTTTCAAATATTATTTTACGAGTATTCCTTTCAAAACAAGTCAAATGCGATAAGTGATTACTCATAGTCAAAATTAAACAAATTTCGCCACCATAGTAACTAAATTGACTTATCCTTCCGGAAAACTGTATTTTGGGCATTGAGTACCTAAAATAACCATTTTTCATACTATTTTATTGAGTCCAGCAAAGACTCAGCTTGTTTCGAGAGCCTATACAAAAAATTTATTACTTTTAAATGCTCGCCAGAAGTCTAAAACAAATAGTTTTTTAGCGGGGCAACTACGAAAAAAAAAATCATTGAGGAGGTCGTTTTTATTTTTTAATTTATCTTTGTTCCTCATAAAACATGATTCGGCATATCACAATCTTTTTTTTTATAAGACATAACTATAAATGAAAACTTCGCATTTTTCTAGGGTTAGTGGTACCCATAAGTGTGGTCAATAACAAAAAATTGTAATGGAAAACAAGAACACTTTTAAATTAAAAACACTTAGCTAAAAAAAAATCATAAATGCCCCTCCAAAGAATATGAATTTTATAGTGCGTATTGTAAATTTGATATTTAGATGTACGGACACGGAATTTTGGACAATTTGTCATTCGGTTGACATAAAATGTAAAACTGACTTTAGGTGCAACTTTTTTTTTTGATTTTTGTAGTTTTTATACTGACAGCTAAATAAAAATGACAATAAATCAAAATAATAATAAAAAAACAATAACTAAGTAAAAAACGTATTGCAACTACTAGCATTATTGTATGTATTAGGAAATCGACGCCAAAAATAAATTTCAACTAAAACTTTCAAGTTTTAAATCCAAACGTCAATCATAATGACACTAAAGCGTGGCTTACGTTTATATTTTGTAAACTGACATAATAATGTCTTGTTACCTCATACAAAAATTTAATTTCCATTGAAAATGGAACCTGTGAGCTGTCTAATTAGTAAATATTTACAACCTATCAGGTAGATAGAATAATTATAATTAGATTTTTTTTAAGATCAAAAAGTCAAAACAATATTTAGCTTTCTAAGAAATTTCTGGAGCAACTTCCACAAATTCAAGGCATAAAAATATTAGCGAACTGATCTTTAACTTTTATTACAATTTATTACCCTTACTAACCCAACCCCTGAACGCAGGTAAAGACTGAGTTTGGACCCTGCCTAGGGTGTATTACTGGTTGCTTTTGAAAAAGAATAATAAATGCTGAAAACCGACTTGCCCGTTCACTCCCGGACAGCCTTAAAAGATAAGTTTACAATATGACAATCCAGCCAAAATTGGGCTCACTACTTGTACGCTTTTTTTTTTTGAATAGAAGTGTACCTACCTTCAAGGTTCTGCTAATCCATTCCTTAGCATATTCTACATTCAAACACAAACTCATGCATTTCGACTACAGTACAGATAGATGACCCATAAAACTGAGGACACAGTAACAATTGTTTTAATATTGAACTCTAAAATTTTTCATTTATGAAGTTGTGATACAGTAGTAATAGTGGTGTAATCTTTTATTGCAATTGTGTTTACACAAAATGTCCAAAAATAGATACAATACCATAATAATTATATAAAGCAGTTTACAATTAATTCACAAAAACTACGGGCATTACTAGGGCACTACATTAGTATTTAAGCTCTATTTACACTATTTCCATCTAAACCATTTAACATTAGTAGAATATAAAACTATGTTGGTTACGAAGTATGCTCCAAACAAAATGGACTTTTTGCTTTTACTTCCTAACAAGCACAATCACAGGAACAGCGTTTGACTCTCTTTTCAACCTTGGGAAGTAGAGCGTCCACCGAACGCACAGATCTAGGCTGAACATCTAAAAATAACAGAAATAATTATTATTATTTTCATTTAATGTGATAGGACTTAAAAAGCAAAGAAAAATTAAGCAGAGAAAAATTATTATTATAAGTCCAAAATCAAGAGAAAAATGAACTTTTCTTTCTACTGAGTTAGAATAATGAAGTTTTAATTACAGATTTGCTGGTTTCAAGTAAAGCAAAAACTTTTTTTCCTTTGCAGTTTTGGCGTAAAATTAAATATAATTTTTTTTTCCTCTTGTAAACTCAATCCGGGGACATACTGTATAATAAAAGTTTGACGTTTGAATTTGAAATTTAGGTAAAAAATGAAAATCATTTACAGTCACCTGATATTTACGTTTCTATTTGAAAAACATGCTAAAACACTTGATAAGTCAAAAATAATGACTTGATTTGATGTTTTTTTTTTGGTTTGTTTTAGCAAAATCTTGCTATTAACACCATTTTCGACCATATTTTGTATTTTTCGTCCTATTGTTTTGACAAAATTTCACTCAAAAAGAGCTAAATCGAATAAAACAAACGAAATAACATGAATTTAGAGATTTTTTGTTGTTTGAGTATGATTTGACAATATCTTGCAAAATAAATGGTTCTCTAATTCAAAAACGAACTAAATCGAGCGAGACATGCTAATCAATTTCAATCTAATTTGGTAATTTTTCAGTCAGTTTTAGCAAAAATTTGAATGTACTTCGAAACGTGATGAAACACTCTAATAAAAATGCAAAAATGACACTAGTTTTGGGCTAATTTGGTAAATTTTCGGTTTGTTTTTAACGAAATTTTGCAAAATAGTTCTGTTTCCGGCTAAAAACATACTAAAATGCTCAGAAATGGACAAAAGAACGTACTTTTTCATTTTTCCGATTTTTTTTTACCTTATTGAGTAAACTATTATTTTTGAGAAAATCTAGCATTTGAGTTTCTGTATGGCTAAAAAAGCGTATAAAATGCTCAAAAAAAAAAAAACAAAAAAAATTGTGACATCGTTTTTGATTGAATTTATAAGACTGAATGTATATCAATAATTAAAAAATCAAATTAAAAAAGATCATTTTGCTAACGTTAGGGCGAATACTCGATTAAAAAAATTCTTTGGAAATACATTAATTTTAACTAGTCACGTTTCTAAAAAATCATCAGAAATTAGAATTTTTTCAAAAGTTTTCCAAAGCAATTTTACCAGATCTGGTGAAATTTCACCAGTCCTGGCAACACTGATCATCGTAATAATCGCAATGCAAGCTCTATAAAAATCCTAATGCCAGGGAGAAGCTTTAATTTTTTATTTTAGTATGTACCAAAATGTCAGAAGCTGTGAAATCTCAAAAACAGAAACAGAAACACTACCCCCACTAGCACTTAAAAAAAATAAACTTTAGGTAGGTATCTATTTTTTGCAACAAATTTCAAAAGAACTTTTTCTACTTCCACATCTAAAACACGGATTATCGTGTATGTTTCCATAACACTAAGTGACCTTTTATATACATCTTGACAAGCCGTGACTAACATGCGTATTAGTCACGTTGCTAATAGCAAATGTCGTATTCGTCACCGGCTGAAGTTGGCTTTCTGTCATTTAATTTAAATTTTAATTTAAAGTTGCGGTCACTTCATAGTGGCCATTTAATTTATTGTAAAGTTGGCAACCCCTAGCGCGCCACCTCTACTGTGTGGGTTGTATCTATGTTGGCAGCAGAATTATCTAAATTCTGTCAACAATTGTGACAGGCCCATTGGCCCAGTAGATTTTATATGTGAAGTATTCTAATCAGATTTTTTTAGAATTGTCATTTTTGATAGATATGTCCATAAAAAACAATTGGATGTTTAAAGTGGTCGTAGAAAAAGTATAGTATGTAACACGTGTATAAACTTTTCTAGGCATTCGTTTTATTAAACAATCGCTCTGCTGCGCTTCGCTCGTTCCTAATAAAACTCATGTCTAAAGTGGCGTTTATAGCACTAGTTACATAATATACTATTTAGATACTATATCTTTATATAGATATAAGTCAGTTTTTAAATGTACGTTGAAACTTTAAACGTCATAAATACATAATAATTGCTTACAGTGAGGTCTAGGCTCCTCTGGGTCAGTGGTTCGAGATTCTGCATCTTCTTGTGGAATCATACGCATGGGAATAGATGCAGGATTTCTATCAAACATCTGGTTTTGCCTCTCATTAACTTCTTGGGCGTTTTGTCTTTGCTGTTCATAAGCCTTCAATTCCTGCAAAGCTTCAGCAACAACTGGTGGGACATTAACCATTTCCATTGGAGCTGATTGTTGCATTTCTGGTGCCGCTGACATCACCAACTGGGGTTGTGTACGCATATCCGGTCCAACTCTTTGGTTCTGTGATGAAGGAACTGGGTGTATTTGTTGTGGAGCAGCGTTCATTTGTTGAAAAATAGTTTTTGCTCCTTGTGGTACAAAAACCTTTTTTTGTGGATTGGTTTGGCCTTCATTCAAATCTTGTAGTGTATCGTCAAATTCTTGTGAAACAGTTACAATAACATCGCGATTTGGAAATCTATTCAACTGTGCAAGAACTTCGTCAGGTATGGGAAGTTTCTGCGCCATTTGTTCAGTGTTGAATTGCATTTCCTGGTTTTGTCCTTCTCGTCCTCTTTGCATTTCCATAATTTTTTGGGCGATGACCTCCTGAGCGATTTGATGCAAAATCTGGTTAGGCGGTAGTCGGTTTTGTTCTCTGATTTGTTGTACTCGTGGAGGCATCGACGCCTCCATTGGATGTGCTGGTCTTTGTGCGTAAGGGTGTAACTGCTGAGCCATGTGTGTTGGGAAATGAGTTTGTGGAATTGGGATCATAACAGGTTGAATAACCATAGTTTCTTCAACTTGATCATCTTCTTGGGGTGATTGTCTAAAAAGTCTAATTTATTAACTGAAAAAATTCCACCAAAATATAATTACTTTTGTTCATTGCCGCTGTCGCAAGAAATCGATATTCTTTCACCGCTAAAGCGTTCGTATCTTGGATCGGTTGTTAAATTAAGTCCAAAGGGTAAATTAATAGCTTTCGGTTTATGATCAACAATTTCTTCCGCACGTTTTTTCTCAACTACGCAATTAATTTTAGGTTTTTTACTTTTTTCAAATAAAGCACCAAGATCATCAAAGTCTAATTGCAAAGGCAATTTTAGGAAAACTGTTTTCTCATCCGATTCACCACTACTGTCACTGCTGGAGGACTCGCTGACAGAGTTTTCAGAACTTTCAGGACTTGTGGAGTCAACGTTATTATTCTTATTCTCATTTTCTTGGTTTCGGGATTCTTTAGTACTCAAATAATTTGAGCTTTGTGTTTGTTGATCTTCCTGAAAAAATAAGAGGAACCACATTATTATAAGTAGGTATGTATCTACCAAGTATTCGTAAAACCACAATTTATTTGCTAACATATTTTTCCCAGGTCCATACAGGGTAATTCTTAAATAGACCGACAAAATTTTATCCTTGGTGGTATCAAATGAGAACATGCTGGAAAAAATATTTATAAATTCTTTGTTTAACCGTTCTCCAAATAAAATTTATTAAAGTTATTTTCGACGTAAAGCGTACGCCACTGATGTGTTCGTAATACCATGGTATTAATTTGATTAAAATGTACTTGATCATTGCAACAAATCATAAACGCCGTAAGTGGCACGGATCAAGGGGGTTTAACCCCTAAAAGTCATAAACCTAAACAGGATACAGTTTGTCTCCATTTATCGTTGGGAAGATGTGATAAAATTTTGTCGGTTTATTTAAGAATCAGCCTCGCTGCAATAGTATATTACATAACGAGCACGGAAAGTGATAAATAACGCACAAGCGGGAAAGTCGCGCACGAGGCGTTAGCCGAGTGCAGGCAATACCGCGAGTGCGTTAGACACTTTCCTGCAAGTTTTGTACACTATTTTTCCTACGACCATAAATAATTTTTTTCTTACGAACATATTTTTTTTTCATAACGATTTATTTTTTATAATGGAAACAAAAATACGTTGAATAACGATTTATTTTTTATAATGGATACAAAAAAATACGTTGAATGAAAAAATACAAAACATTCGAGTGTGAATTGTGCGTTAGATTTATAACACACAGTGCGAAAACAAATCGCACAGGTTTTTGACCTCGTACGATATTGCCAATTTTTGCGCATATGTAATTGTGCGTTATGATCTAGTTTCGTATATGGTCGTAGGAAAAGTGTCTAACGCACTCGTGGGGCTTCCCATTTGTGCGTTATTTCTCACTTTCCGTGCTCGTTATGTAATATACTATTACGAATACTGTCATTATTTACTAGTATTCACATTTGCTGTTCCATAATAAGAAAATGCAAATTTTCAAAAAAAACTGAAATCAAGTGACTTGTACAAAAATATGCTTGAAAGTGTTCTGAAAATTTCAGGAAGGAATACTCGTAGTAAATTCAGTACTAACTGTAGTTAATAGTAGAATAGTTAATACATACTTAATAGTTATTTATGGTACAAGTGTGTTATATTACAAATAAATCATGCAAAAAAATGGTTTCCCGAACTATGCCCCAAGAGCTACATTTATAGTTATTTATATATTAAGGTCATAAGTAGGAGATTATGGCATGAGGGAATGTTTAAAGCCTGAGGAACGATGGCTTTTAAATTCCCGAGGGTCATAATCGATAATTATGCCCGTGGAACATACAACGTTTTATTCTATTTTATAATTTCTAAAAGATTCAAACAAATATTTAGAATTCATTAAAGGAAATCAACTAAAATTTGTGTCCACGCAAATTTTAGTGTTATGTAGAAAGTTAGCGATTTTGATGTTGTTAAGGTTACTGCGTTTGTTTAAAAAACCATTCATTTTTCAAAATGAACGTTTCTGAAGCAGAAAGCGTTTATTCAAAAAAAAAAAATTACAAGAATTTGAAACTGCTCAGGGAGAATTTCCCATAAATCATAGGAATATGACAAGTTTTGATACCATTGCTTGAATAATTAAACCAACCGTTGCTTGCCAGATTTTTGACAGATTTGTGATAATAATTACCAATTTATGCCCTCATTTGGGGACGTATAAAGGTGATTATGGACTAAAATAGAATAAAATTATCTTATTTTTGAAAACCCGTTGACAATGGTTGTCAAATTAATCATAATTCCATTCATGAGCTTTCAAAAACAATCATTATGTATCCCAACAACAAAAGAGTAAACATATCCTAATTTATATTCCTAACCACTAACTAACAAAGAATGTTGATCAATAAGGCTCGGATTATATGCAAAATGCATATTTTGCATATAATCTAATGTTTTTTGATTAAAATAAGCCAATTAAAAAATCCATATTTTGCATATTTTGGCAACTTCGTGCATATTTATGAAATATTGCATGTTTAGAAAGGTTTAATTACTAGGTTATTAAAATGGCTTGTCTGAGGCAAAACCAATTTATATATTCTCTTTCCTTCATCGTGTGCAGTTCAAGATTTATTAGGAGTTTGTTTTTTTATTGTTAAAAGTTTTGCATATCGATGCATATTTGGCATTGTATTTTAGCATATTGCTTAATATCTTGTGCATATTTTTGTGAAAATACGTTCACATAAATGCGCCTATTTTACGAATTTTTCGTGCTTATAATCCTAGCCTTCTTGATCTATTATTACTAATTATTCAAGGGGTGTAAAAAACTAGAGAAGACAATGCCATTTTTCATGATAATCATTATTTGACAAAATTATCATATAACCCAGATACCTACCAGTGGAAATAAATTTACAAAAACTTGCATCCGGGGTAATTTTCTACACTCAATACATTTTCTTGCAGATTCAGATTTATTGGTTAATTTTATTTAAAAAATGTTGCAAATGTTACTCGTGTACGATGTAGCGTGTTCGCGAAAAATGGAGTTTTACTAAACCTGACACCGATATTAATTTCAGAGACAAAAATTTACATCAGCTTTGAAACAAAAGGCCCACCCCAGCAGGTCATGTGACAGATGAAAGTATTCTTCATATTATTACCTATTAACTTATAGGAATAAATTCGTAAGTTCTTTGAAATAAAGTCCAGTTGTGCTCTAGAGGAAAAATTTTCGGACATAAGTCCACAGGAATTTTTTCCTTATATTGACTTAAGGAACCACCTCTCAAAAGCTTTTTTCTGAACATTTTGTTGTTGTTGTTTATTATTTTAATCTACCTCTTTTTCTGTTAGATCTCGATTAAAAGATTGTAGAGAAAAAGTAATTTCAGTTTGTCACATACATTTAGGATGACTGAATAATCATAACCAATATCAAAATAAATCAAATATATGACTTTTCGATGATTGTCGGTAGAGTCGCTCATGACTCGCTCGCTTGGTCGAACTGACCTACATTCAAAGAGTAAAGACCTCTCGCTTTCACCGTTGTGTCATGAACTCATACGAGTAAAGATGTTAATAAATATCAAATTATCGTTGTTGCCTATATTATACGTACCTACATGTAACACTGAATATAAATTAATAGTCTTTTGGGTCGGTATAGATAGCATTAATTGAAAACTCTCCTCTAAATTTCCAAATCAAGCATCCAAATCAAGCATGTATCAAAAAAAAACATAAATATCATAAAAATAAAGTAACAGTTTCTCTGTCACACAAATGATCAAGAATCTAAGCCAAAAATTTCATTAAGCAACTATAAAATTAATAAGTGTTGTTTTTACACATATTAATGTTAAGTCCGTAATTTGGTGAATTTACAAATTTAAGAGCAACATTTCCTTTCCTGTGTAAAAGAACCCCACCAGGGATACAAGAGGCATTAAATGCGGAGGGAAAAAAGTTAAAAGATTGTCATGGCATTATTTCTCTTGTAAAAATACGCTTTAATACTATTTATTAATATAATAAGTTATTATAATTTATTAATATTACACCTACTAGCTTTTTTTGCAAAGTCAAATGTAAAAATATGTGTTACTGAAAAATATAACAGTGGTGTGGTGTCCACTATTTACGTAAAATACCGTATGAATTTGAAAATATGGGACACAACAAAAACAAACAAAATATTTTATTTTAGATACAAGAGGATTTAGATAGTTGTGCATAAATTTTAAGAGGTATAGGTCTAAAAAAGTCAAAATAACTCAACTTGGTTTATCCAAATCTTTATAGTTTCTGAGGTACATATGAGTAGGTATAAGGAAATTCGTTAAAAAATGCAGTATAAACAAAGTCTGCATCTTTTAAGTACTTTCTTATAAAGTTTACATTGCTTGTCATTTGATGCAAAATTTAATTTTTTTCAATATGAGGATTCTTTTTTCTGTTGATCTTGATAATTTTAGCTTAAGTATCCTCTCCTTAGAATCTCTTACAACCTCTTAGAATTTGTATACAACTATTAAATCACTATTCACAAGAAATTTGAGAGAGCCCTATGCTCAAAATTAAAAAATACCAACAACCCTCATGTTAAAAAAATAAGAAAAGAAAACAAATCCGTTTATTGGACCAAATAAAGATCGAAATGGCGTGTGTTACAACATTTTCTGGCATTAAATTATGAAATAACTATTATTTACGTATCAGAAATAATAATTACCCGCACAAGAGCTTCTGGTGATAAAGGAGACTGAAACCTGTCGGCTGCTTCATTAAGTAGTTCCAACTCTTGTTCCAACTGTCGACATGAAGCAGTTGCCGTAACGTAAGCAGAGGCTAGTAAGAAACTACCTAACACAAAAGACACCAACACAACTGTAACGGCAATGATTTTTGCCACTTGAACTGTTGGACTATTGGAACGGTGATAAGCCTGAAATTAAAAATGATATTAGTACAATTATTATTTTGACAAAGAATGTAGAAAGACTGTGTTCCCGCATATGCTTAGTTTTAATCACAAACGAGTTTAGCAAGAGTCACAAAGGCTGCATTAGCTCGCATGCTAAAACAATTTTGCTTGAGTTTGTTCAACAGCTTTTAAAACAGACAGTTATTGCTTACGTACAATAAGCATTAAAGTCGAAATTGCATGTGAACATTGACTACAAACCGGGTGAACAGAAAGTATGAGAAAATAGTATATCATGTTATTAGGAGTAAAAGTGGTAATTTATGTGGCGAAACTGAACGTTTATTTCGCCGAACGGAGTGAGGCAAATGATTTACCTGAGAAACATAAAGTTATTTTTACTCCAAATAACATATGATACTCTATTTTATCGGCAAACAATTTAGATGGAGATAAAAGAGCAACATAATAATTACACAGGCCGACATGATTTTTGGGGTTTAAAATGTTGTTGTCATTTTTTACTAACTTGTTGACGCCGATTGCAAATCCACCTGTCTCACAACAGGTTTTGAAAAAATCTATATACCTAGTGGTAATTTTTATTTTCTTCATAAAATCATCCAGTTTTAGCTCTCTTTCCGCGAGTTTTGCCACGTTTCATGAAAAACATGGGAATTATAACAGCAGCAACACCCATAGGATATTCCATTGTTCTAGAATGAGTCGTTGAATTTGGTTACAATATCCGTGTCATAACCATCACCTCATTGGCAACGTCGCAAATGCGTTTTTTAAGGTGAAATAGATCAAAAACATTTGATTTTTGTGTACCTACTTAAAAGAAGAATTTGTGTCACAACTAAACTCTAATGACAAATTTTAAACCATGAAGCTCCACTCTTTCATACAAAAAAAAACATTGTGGAAAGTGACAGAAAAGGCGATGGCTTCATAACTCCATTATTTTTGTAGATAGATATGACAATATATGCATAGGGTAGCTAAAAAGTAAGGATATAGCTAAATATTTTTAGAACGGTTTAGCAGAGCACCTTGAAATTTGGGAAACGGTTTACCTATTTTTTGGTCAAAGTTCAGACGACAAAGAGCTAACGATAGATAAAGACATCATTTCCAAGACTAAATTTTTTTACATTTTTCAAAATTTAATTAGTTTGATAATTAAAAAAAAATGAGATATGCATGTGTTACATCCCAGAACTCCCAAAAAAAATGCTCTTCTTAAAAATAATAAATTTGACCCTTCCTGACATTAAAAAAAATCAAGTTAGCCTTGTATTCCTAGAACAAATGGAGATAGAAGTTTGATAAACATCTGAGGCTATGGAATTTAAATACTTTTAGGCAATAAGTTTTGATGAATAGTTTTTATGATATTTACCTGCATCCATACTTTTTAGCGACCCTGTATATAGAACAAAGATACACAGTTTTTTGTCATCTATTGTTTAGCCCAATCAATGCTGCTTCCTGTTCCACCGGAAGTAACATCAATTATTATTTTTAGATTCCTCATTAAATTGTTTTTCAATAAGCTTATTTTCTATTATTTATCAATAACTTTTGATTTTAAGCAATTTAAAAATTAAATTAAATTAAATAGACTACGGAAAGATTAATTATTCTATCTAAGACAAGCAAATGACTGATAACAAAAAACTGTTTAATTTTGATCAAAGAAGTATTGTAACGTCTTTAAAAGTAATGAAATTATGTAATTATGTAAGTAATTATTATTTTTCAAATTGTCGTTTCCTGTATGAAATAGTGGAGTATTTTGGTTCTAAATTTGTCATAGAATCCAGTTCTTACACAGATTTTTCTTTTACATACAAATTAAATGTTTTTGACCCATTTCACAGCTACAACGTTGCCAGTTAGGAAATTAATGGTACGACATATATAGGCTGTTTCAGTTAAATCCCACGTTATACGTATTGTGAGTTCTGCCAATGAAATTTATCTAAAAATTTGCCTATAGCATAGCCGTAATCGGTTATGTCCTGTTCAATAAAAATATTTTTAAAATGATCGGTTATACCGGAAGGGGGTATCAAACTGTTTTTTATTGGTCTTTTGAATTATTCTAGTAATTTTAAGAGAGTTTTTACAGTCTACCCTATATCTAAATTTTGAAATTTTTTGACTTTGCACCTTATTTAAAAAATCGATTACTCTACCACTTTTAATTATTTTAAAATCGTATTTAAGCACATGAAAGAGAAATGTTAATTCTTTCCTTTGGTGTATTCATAATTAAAAAATAATTAACAAACTCCCAAAATTTAACATTAAGTTTGGGAAACTTCAAATAACTCAATTTTTCTAAATGAAAGTTTTATTTTTTATTTACTAAATCAAGAAGAGTTTAGTTCTGTATCGATCTTATTCAATTCTGTCTTATTCAATTCTGTATCAACATTCCCTATACCTATGTTTAATGGTTTTCAGGTTATCTTGACTTACTTACTTACATTGCGAGAAATTCATTATTATTATTCATAGTTCTTTTTGCATAGTTTGCCATGGAAACATTTCTCACTGCATAAACGACTTCATTTAACAATTGGTATGAAATATCAGGTTCAGGTTGGGAAGTGGTTACTTCCCAATCCAAAAACTGATAAGGAAGTGACCACTTCCCAATCTGAATTTATTTTTTGACATTTGACTCTTTTATGCCTATTATTTAATGTTACATTTTGTTCATGTTCCTGGTATCTTATCTTGCTCAGCATTTTTCTGTGAGGCACAAGTTCTGATATATCCTGTATGTAAAACATATTTTATTTTTTTACTTTGGAATGCTAAATTGGTAGGAGTCATTGTCTTTAATTTATAAATACAAATACACAGAAACACTTAAAATGTACATGTTCCAAACTGTCTGCTACTAACAAAAAGTTTAGATTTTTCCTCCAATTTACTATTTTATTCCATAGCTGCGTAGTTCAAAGTTTTAATTTTATATAAATAATGTAATTGTTTAATAATTATAATTATACAATAAGTGAATTAAAACATTGTTTATTTGCGAAAAGAAAATTCTTCGATTTATAAGCTTTGAACTATTAAATAATGTAGATTAATGATTAATGTGTAGATTTCATCAGGTATCTGCTTTCCTAAAACAACACTGTGTATAGGGCACAGAGCAAAGAAATCTAAAGTCTTCAGATTCGAAGAAATGGACACTGCTTCAGATGATGAATATTTGCTGAAATAATTTTTAAATCACTAGTGAATTAAAACGTATTAATTTTTAACTAGTGAATAATAGATTGCTTATACGTGTTACTATGGAGTTAATAATGTCAACTTATAATGTCAAAATTGAATCAAATATTTTAAATGTTTGACTTGAGACTTTTGTTAGTTTGCTTTGACCGTAGTTTTATCCTACAGTCATGGGTCCTCAGTCTATTTCAACCTGCCACTTGAGATACCAGTATCAGTCACAAAAGGAAATTGTTGTTCATTAACTACTGAAAATACAGAGTGGTTCCCTTTTAATACAAAATAATAGTCATCACTCATCTAGGCTCGCAAAATTTGTAGCTTATTAAAATTGCGCCCTTTATCTTTGGTAAAGAAGCGTTTTTGAACAATTGTTCATAGAACACGTGTTCCTGCAATTTTGCCAGTAAAAACAGAACCACCCTATATATTATTAAATACATCTTAGAATAAAAAAGGTGTCAAAACATTAAAAGTTTTCTATTATGGATTTTTAATACACGCGCCCTAAAACTCTCACACAGGGCAGACAGTGCGTTACAGGAAATCTACTTTAGCCTCCCAGGCGCATACGTTGAGTAGGAAGAGGATATCGACGTGTAGAAAGTAACCGTAGGCAAGCCGAATGAATACAATACTTTTACCCCAAACATTCAAACATTTCCAAGTGTTACGTAACCTTTTTGTTTGACAAGTCAAAAATTAGGAGAAAAATTTTAGAAGTTTTTTATTCGTTTCGAATTAGGCTGACAATTGCTGTAGAAAAACATTTAATACATTAATCATGGAAATTGTATAGGTACATTGAGTGAACTTCGGAAAAAATTAGCCTCGACGGTATTTGGAGACTGTCGAAAAGACAATTAGAAGATTTTGCGTTAGAAATTGTAATTAAATTATGTATCTCGCTCAAAAAAATGCCTACGTTGTGGAGAAAATTAATTCTTCAAAATGTCCAACTAGGCGAATAAAATACATACAGGGTGCACCAAAACTCGCGCCCCAGAGAAAAATGTCAAATGCCGGCGGCAATGAGTCGCCAAAAAGTGCAGCTGAAGAAGTAACTTTTGCTTGCATAAGAAAGTTGAGAGACTCTTAATTCCACTAATCCCAGAAGGGCGTGATTGGAAAATTATATCCGTTGCTAGGTTACACAAATAATACCAATTTGCCCAAAATTTTATTAAAAATAGCTGGATTATTGTAATTGTCTGTCACACTATTTTCGAATATTTTTCTCGCTGAAGATGCTGTGCACAAGTATAATGAGACGAAATCGTTGAAAATTTTTGAAAACTCGATTTCCGTTGCGATGAACCAACAACTAAGTATTTTAATACTTTTAGATGTTTTCTTCAGAAGCATTGTTCCTCCTTAACTTTTTCTTCGATATGACACAGACAACAAGCCGAAAAGTAATTCTAGAAGCGAGTTAGATTAACCAGAAAGACAAAAATGTACGGCAGTTTCTTTACTAACAGAAAAATGTACTTTTTATAAAAAAAATTGTACTTGAACAAAATAGGTTAGGATAATTTTTACTGTCATAATTGTAGATTTACCAAGGTATTGTTGTTCGGTAATGTAATTGTAACCTAAAAACACACATTGCACTAAGACCCCTTGCTTTCTTTTTCATTAAACAATCCACAAGAGTATTGCAATATTGATATTGAAATTAGTTGATATTCCTCAACAGTCCACAAATTTACTGGAAATCATTGCTGAAATGCCCACGGAAACAAAGCATTTGAAATTTC